TCAATACCCATGAAACACGTGGTCTGTACTTATTTGCCAGATATAGTAGGATATCTAAAAGCACTATAAACCGTTAGGTGTACTTTGTTGTTAATTCAGGCTGTTTATGACTAGATATTGTCTCATGATTGATTGCTTTAACAAACTTTAGTTGTAGCACGTGTTTGGATCCCTGTGATTTTGAATGGGGCGTCATCTCCTTTTTTTCTTTACAGTTTATAATTTCTGTCTCGCTATGCTACTTCATGTATGTTATTATTATGTATCCTTACCAGCCATTCGGTACCTAATTTGTGTCCCACTGAATTACAGAACTAATTTTTTTGTCCTTCTGTTGAGTTTTTGCACATTTTGGAGAATGATTGTCTAAGTACTGTGTAAACAATTTGAGTCTTCACTCGTGTTTCTTGAATGGCTGATTAGGACTGGTTGATTAAGTAGAGCCAAATGACATTTCAAACATTTATGGTGCCTGAGTTTGCCCATTTTGTCATGGTGCCTATAAATTAAGATGTGAGCTTGGTGTTGGTTTAAACCACCTTTTTCCTGAATTCTAACAATCTTCTTCTGTTCATGTTTCAGGTTGAAATAGATGGACAGGTTTTAGGGGAAGGGATTGGGTCGACTTGGGATGAGGCTAAGATGCAGGTTTTTCCCTGCTATTATGAGCTATACATTTTTAACACACTTAGAGTTTCCTCATATTATTTATTAATATTCTATTTGATCACCTGAACAAAAATTTCCTTAGGCTGCTGAGAGAGCTCTTGGAAGCCTGAGATCAATGCTTGGTCAGTTTCCTCGGAAACGTCAGGGTTCCCCGAGGTATGTCATTTTGCTTGTTACCATTTATTTTCCTTGTATGATGCATTGGATACTAGTATTGGCTTGGTACTGGATGGTTTTGGGGCTTGATTATTGGGTCCATCTACCCCCCATGTGGCCCCTTTAATCTTGTTTTGGTTGCTTCAGCCAAAGGATTTTATCATTCATCTCCTTATTTCTGTCAAACTTTTATTTTTTTGTTTCCTTAAATGAACTTCTGATTTATGATGAAGGTCATTGCAAGGGATGTCAAGTAAACGACTAAAGCAAGAGTTCCCGAGAGTTTTGCAGCGGGTACCATCTTCTGGGCGATTTTCTAAAAATGCTCCACCTGTTCCCTGAAAGAGCTCAGAATTCTTTCAGGTTTTGCGACATTTGTACCATACTGCACAAACAGAGTAGACGAGGGGAGGGGACAGGATCAAGCGAACTGGCTACTGAGACCTCGCCATGCCAACTACCTGGTTCCATGCTTCCTTTACATCTCATATCACTTGCCTGAACTTCTCCAAAATGCAAGAGGAGATCTCCTGCCAAGGCTGCACATCTAATTATGTTCACACCTGGGGATTTGTGCAATTTGTATATTTTCTCAATACCGACAAAATCTGTACAAATAGATCTCCGCTGTCTTGGCTTTTCTCGTCGTGCCCGAAAAGATTAGATTTTGAGAGGTTAATGTAACCCAGTTTTGACATACAGTTGGCGCAAGTGATATACTGGAATGTGGTAGTATTGATTTTTGCAGGTTTTGTGACCGCAAGAACATATCTATAGCAGCTTGTAACAATATTTTATATCCAGCCAGAGTCCCCCAGTACAGAATGATCCTTGAGTTTTAGGGTTAGCATAGTTGATTGACTGGTTTCAGTTAGTCATAAGGAGTTCTAGATTTAGTTGATTTGCCTTTTTTGATTAAGTAAATGAGCTGATGTAATTCATTGCTTATTCAGTCTTGTTACAGAGCCTACAAATTTTCATCTCTTTCTTTTTTTTGTGCAATGAAAAAGCAGTTTCTCTCTCCAATTATGTATAGTATTTAAAAAGTTCACTTTTGAAACAAATAAACTCTTTGAAAAAATGTGGAGTTCTTTTGTGGATTTATGTATATAGGTGCATATTATATATAGATATATATACATGACTATTACGTATGAGAGAGCTATATATGCATAAACTATACACACACACACACACATATATATATATATATATATATTGATACAAGGGGGGTCCTTATATATAAATTATTCCTTCATGTATTATTGGAACAAGAAGGGGGAGAGAAAGTAATTCTAGATTATATCTAAAAATAAGAAATTTTGGTATGAAAATTTCATTTATTTATTTTCTTATAAAATTTGAACAAATATTACATAAGAATTCCAAAAAAAAAAAAAAAGAGAGAAAAGAGAAAATATTTAATAATTTTTACTTAATTTATTATTACATTAATAAAAAGTACAATTTTTTATCCATATAATTCTAAATTTACATAGAAAAATAAATTAATTTATGGATGTAAAATATTTGTTTTGAAAAAAATATAGAATGGTAATTAATAAAGAAAAAAGTAAGTGTAAAATGTCTTAAATTAGATACCACTTATTTTAATTTTTACCAAATAAAAGAAGTAAATGATTTTATTATTTATTTATTTATTTATTTCAGTAATTATTTTTTACTATTTTTAATTTCAGTTCTTCTTTAAAAAATAATTATTTTTATTCTATATTTAAAAATTAATTTCACTATTACTTCAAAAAAAAAAAAAGAATTGACTGTTTGGCTGGGAGTAAAAAATGTTTTTGACTGCGAACAGCCACCGAATTGACTGTTTTTTACCGAGAGGAATTGATATTGCCAAGCGAACAATTGGAGAATGCAAGACTGCCTAATGCCACAACGACGTCGTTTTACAATCTTCTTACAATCGTCCCTGGCACTATCATTTTTTGTCTCGTAGTCACCATGAAGTATATAAAAAGTCAAATAATGGCATTCGAAACTTCAAAGCCACCTCTTACATTTCTTACACATTTCCCTCACCGAGCTGTTTCTAGAGAGAGAAAAAGGCGTACAGGGAGAGAGAGCGAGAGAGAGAGAGAGAGGGGGGAAGGGAAAGAGAAGCATGTCTTCCTTCGATTCATTTGGCATGGAAGGAGAGGAGATTCACGCGGCGAATCACCATCGTCCCTTCGAAGACGACGATGAATTCTCTGGTTACGGCGCCTACTCCAGCTTCTCAGGCAATAACCAGCACTCATCCAGCGGGTTCCCCGGGGAAGAAAGTGATGTTACAGTGGATCACGTGGCTGAGTCGCCGGATATCTTCGGCTTCGGATCCTCTGATCCGAATCCTAGTTACTCGCAATCTCCGTTCAGCTCCTCGGTTCATGTGGAGAACGGAAATGGAAATGGCTATGGTGCTGGAAGTGATAACGTTTTTGAGTCGGATGGACCGGTGCTTCCGCCTCCTACCGAGATGGAACCGGAGGAGGGTTTCGCTCTCCGTGAGTGGCGTCGGTGAGGGTTTTGATTTGATTTAATTACTCTTATACTCTTCTCTTTTTATTGTGAGCTCGAGTAGATCTGCTGTAGATCTGTGCTCCTTTTTCTTTTTCTGTTTTCAAATAGTTTTCCTGATTCAGTGTTTTAGCTGTAGCTTTGGTATGTCGTTTATTATTTTCGAGAAGTTGCGATTTGAGTTGAGTAAGCTGGAAATAACTTGATGAAGTTAATTTAATGCTTGTTTTTTTGTGTTTTTTAAAGAATTTTTCTTGAACTTGATCAGATCCGTGTGTTTACTATTTACCGTGTGATAAAATTTTTTACGCTCGATTTAGTTGTGGAGATTAAGGTAAAAGTTTAAGTTTTCTCTATGGATCCGTATTGTTACTATTTTCTATTCATCTATTTTGAGAATAGTGTTCAAATAAGCTGAATTTTGGAGAAGTATGACAAAACTTTTGATTGGATAATTTTGGAGAACTGACTGAACTTAAGTGAGGCTTTGGCATTTTTAACTGATATGTTAAGAGTTGAATGGATCACAGCAGGAAGGAGCTAAAATCCATTGTGAATTTACGATCCATGATGGTTATTCAGCCATGTTCCTGTGAAAAATGTAAATTTAAAGAGTTTGAATTTTGATTATTGCTTTTTGGATCCTGCATCAATTCGAGCTTTGAAAATCTGCATAAGTTCACATCTAGGTTATTTTAGATCTGCAGAATTACGTATGGAGTACTTAAGAGTTCAAAATTGCTTCTTGTTTAAGTTCTTCTCTAGTCAAGATTTTGTGATTGTATGTGGTTGATGGTGCTAAATTTGGTATGTTTTTCTTTCTGTGAGCAATATGAAAACGATTAGCTTTTCTTGTTATATTTAATTGGAATGTGCTTGAAACCCATCTTGAGAAGGTGTTCTGCTGAGCTTAGTTAGGGGTGTTGCTAAGATGATTCATCAGTTAGAATTGGGTGTAGCCTTCTCCTCGCTTGAATATAGAAGCATTCTCAGATCTAAACAGCTAGGTTTCAATTTTTTTCGGCTTGTTTGTTCAAGACCATGACATTTATGGTGATATTGTTTTCACAATTCACATTATTAGAATCTTTATTTGGAATAAACTTCTGTATATTGTTTGAACTGTTTTTGCTTGCTATAAGTTAACGATTGACCATAATCTTTGTGGGGATTGGCTTAGAACAAAAATTTATGGGGTGTAAAGCCTGATCCACGACTTTAGTTGTGATGTCCAGCAGCATGCATGCTTTCTGGTGGCATGGTAATTTGGCGCTCATTAAACAGCCTGGTGTAGTTTCTTTCAAATTTTAATGGAAATAGTTTATTGTAGTTGCTTTTGTGTAATCATACTTAAAGGCCTGTCATATCCTTGTTTACTCCCTTCTTCTCCTGCAATTCACTGTTCTTTGAAGAGTTGTTCCCATCTGGTACTGGTTGCATAGATGAAATTTTGGATGTGTTGGATCCTTGCTTTTCCTTGATAAGTTTTGTTCTATTTTTGTATGTTGAGAATTGGATGTTCCAATACATTATCAGCCTGATTTGCCTCTTACGAGTGTAGTTCAATTTCTTCGAGGCAGGACATTTTTTTCGGGTTCTAATACCCAATCTCAGACTTCTTTGTTTCTCCATAATATTACATATTTTTTAATGGTGGAACTTCGAATGCAGTCAAAATGCCATCCAGCTAGAGGAGAAGGAAAAGAGGGAGAAGGAAATCAGGAACCAGATTATTGAAGAAGCTGAAGAATATAAACGAGCATTCTATGAGAAAAGAAATGTTAATATTGAAAGTAACAAGGTTAATAACAGGGAAAGAGAAAAGGTAAGCCATTAATGAGAATTGTCTTTACAGGAATTTATTCCTGTGTTGCTGTATCTGATATTTTGAGATTTTGCTTCTGGAGCAGTTAGTCTTAGCTATCCAAGAGAAGTTCCACAAGGAAGCAGACAAACAATACTGGAAGGCAATTGCGGAACTCATTCCTTATGAGGTGCCCAATATTGAGAAGAAGAGAGGCAAGAAGGATCAAGAAAAGAAGCCATCAATAACAGTTATTCAAGGACCTAAACCTGGGAAACCCACTGATCTCTCAAGAATGAGGCAAATCCTCGTGAAGCTGAAGCATGCACCACCACCTCACATGATGCCACCTCCTCCCGCACCTGTGAAAGATGGGAAGGATAGCAAAGATGCCAAAACTAAAAAAGACGCTGCAGAGAAAGCTGCAACTTCTTCGCCAGCAAAAGATGCCATTCCTCAAGGTTCTTCACACACTTCCCAACCAGAGGCTGCTGCAGAGAACATCCAACCTGCTGCGGAACCTGAGCCAACACCAGCCGCATGATTTGCTCACAGTAGTCCTTTTCGCCTAATTTCAGGTTGATCGCATATTCTCTTATTTTGTTTTTGTCCAATCTGTCTATTTCTGTCAAAATAGCATTTTGTATCACGTCATTTACCTTAGGAGAGTCAAAAGAAAACATTAGTCGGCTCCTTCTGTCAGGAGTTGGATTCTTATTATTATTATTTTTTTTTTTGGCTGTATGGACAGGGAGTTGAAGTCCTGGCTTTTAATATGGTTTTGTTATTCTGCGTTTAACTTCTTCCAACTTTTCGCTCTTGTATTATCTTGGCTTTTAATATGGTTTTGTTATTTTGTTTTTGGTTGTATGATGGACTTGTGTCTTTTAGCTGATCACGAATTACTTCCTGGTCGATAGATATATTTATCTGCAGCCACTTCAGATTTTGATTATTTATACTTGGAAATTTTGTCATATAGACCACAGCGACGGAAGTCGCATGATTTTTGTGTCATTGATAAAAAGATGGATTTTCTTGTTTCCTTGCTGTGCAGCCATAGGTCTCAACTACACCACCATGGGTTCTTTTGCCCAGATCTGTTCTTGTATTCTATAAACCACGAATGTAGGTTAATGTGATAAGAGTTTTTAATTATATATAAATGTTGATATTGTTCAATAATTAAATCCCTTTTGTTAACACTACTTAGTAAATTTATATTTGGAATAAATGAACTATTAGAAATGTTAAATTAAAGGAATAAAATATATAATAAAAGGACAGGAAAAAAAAAAAAGAAAATGAAAAGAAAGAAAATTGATGTCTTCTTTCAGATAGTATAAATAACTTTGAGTTTAATTATTTATTATAAATATAAAAAAAATTATTTTAAATTTAAAAATTAATTTGATCGATTATGTCTAAAATACGTGTTAGCAAAAACTTTAATTCAACATTAGGTGTTTAATTAAACAAAATAAAAAATTAGATTATTAATTGCACATTTGTTGAAAAAAAAAAAAAGATCATTTTAATATGTATTTAACCAAAAAAAAAAAAACACAACTCACCTGCAGTCGAAGATCTTGTAAACTATATATCTTATAAGTTCTCATAATTGTTTTAAAAAAATGAAATATAAGTTTTTACATTTTGAAAATGAAGCAAACAATTTTAAATAGGCATCAAATTTTGTATTTACTTATGTCCAAAAGTATCTGATAGCATTCAGATAGATCTCTGGGATGGGCAGAAAAACAAATGTCTTGAAAATGACACTTGATTATTATACGATATATACATTATATTATACTACAAAAACATTTTACCACCATTAATTCAATGCACATTATAGATGGAAGTAAAAGCTTTTTCACGCACGGCACTAATCTGAACATATTAATTTGTATAATTCTTTTAAATGATAGTTTCATTACATAGAATTAAAATAATAACCTTCAAATTTTATTAAAATATGATAAAATTAAATTCATATAGAACTTTACATGGAATTATTATATCAATAAATTTCAAATACAAATTTCTTTTTTTCAGAAAATAAAAATGACAAGAATCATGATATAAAACTCAACATGATTTTTTTTTTCTAAAAAAGAAAAAAGAGTAATAGAAACATAAAAACAAAGCAAGTGGGATTATGCCCTGAAAGACAGATATATTTAACCTTTTCTTCCTCTTTGTTATTATTATTTTTTTTTAATTGCTGGTCAAATTGAATGAAGGCTTTAATGTCTATCCCTAAAAAGTCACATCTCATCTAGCAGTTACCTGAGTGATCGTAATGGGAACAGAGCTCATTTGGTAGCTAGTAGAATCAGGCGATGATTTCTTTTCTGCTCCACTAAACTCCCCTAAAGCTTGGAAGAAACCTGGAGCAGCCAGTAGTTTTTCATTGAGCTTAATGTTCTTTGATAGCATGTCGACAACCTGGCTCATCACTGGTCTTCGGCTAGCTGCTGCCTGGGTGCAGAAAAATGCTACTTTCATGTACCTAATGACTTCGTCTTCTGGGAATTCCTCTAGCTCAGGATCTACTAACTCCAATAGTTTCTCTTCTTGATAGAGATCCCATGCCTGTTGAAGCCAACCAAAGTGTTGGGAGATAACCAACCAAAATGAATTAATTTGAAACAGATTCCAAAGAAATTGCAGGTTTAATCTGTGAAGCAACATTATTTTCTATACTTCATAATTTTCAGTTGAAAAGGGTTGTTGGGAAAGAGAAAAGATATTCTATTTCAGTAAACGAAATTTAATGCTAACAATTTACGAATTATTAATTTTGTGTAAAAAACAATAGCTTATATAAGCTTTAGACCAATTGGAAAATGTCAAACCTTAATATTTATTAACAAACAGGTAAGCACCCATACAATATTACATCATAAGTTGGAATTGGATAATTATCTTAAAAAATTAAAAAGGAATTAAAAAAAAATGTTTAGACATCATGGTACATATCACATTTAATATTCTGCCTGTTCACAAATGAGAAGAAGAGACTTCATTTTACTATAACAAAAAGTTTCTGAATTTCAAAACTCTAAGACAATGTGTGGAGTAAATGTAAAACAGAATTCACTTTGTATTCAAATTAATTCTTATATTTGACCTAAACCATGAATTAATCAAATGTTCATAAATTCAAAGCATGGAGTTGAGAATGAAGAAGTCTTTGTACCAGTTGCTTGACTACAAACTATTTGCTTACTTATTTCCTTGGCGGCTCAAATAAAGTAGAAAATTTATCAACCAGATGTAAAGTTGGTCTTCCTAAATGGTTATCTGAATAAGAAGTCTATATTGAGTTGCCATTAGGTTATCTGCTCAATAGACATGAAGATAAAGTCCTCAGATTGAAGAAAACCTTGTATGGATTGAAGTAAGCACCAAAGACATGGAATAGCCGCAAAAAAAATGGGTTTATCCATTGTCTTAATGAGTATACTCTTTATTTCAAAATTCATGATAATTGAGATATTTTGCTTGTTCTTCTTTATATGGACTTTGTTCATTGTCTTAATGGGTATGCACTTTATTTCAAAATTCATGATATTTGCAATGCTTTGTTTATTTGTTTTTATGCGGATGATTTTATATTCACTAGCAGCAATCCAAGCTTGTTAGAAGAATTAAGACCTATGGCACTTGAATTTGAGATGACCGGTATAGGACCTATGTCATAAATATTTGGGCTAGAGGTGAAGCAGCTGAAGGAAGGCATATTCATTTCTCAGGAGGGCTATGCAAAAGAAGTTTTGGAAAAGTTCAAAGTAGTTGATTGTAAACTCGTAAATACATCAAAGCTTGAAAATAAAGAAAAAGGAAAATCTCACTCTTTTCAAGGTCTTGTCAGAAGTTTAAGATATTTAACGTGTACAATGCCTAATACCTTTTATGTAGTTGTAGTAGTGAGTCTTTCGATAGAAACTCCTGCTTCCACCTACATGTAAGCTGCTAAGAGAATTCTTCGCTACCTAAAAGGTACACTTGATTTTAGACTATTCTATTCGTTCTCAAGTAATTTAAGCCTGTGAAATTTTGTGATAATGATTTTTCTGTGAGATATGGATGATATAAACAGCACTACTAGTTTTGTACTTTTATGAGTGATTGTGTTATCGCATGGAGGTCAAAGAATCAACCTTTTGTCACAGTTTCAACATATGAGTCTGAATAAATGTAGCAGCAACCTCTTGTACTTGTCATGCAATTTAGCTAAAAAGATTGCTGAAAGAACACCATTTGTCACAAGAAGAAGCTAACAAAAATCTGCATTCACAATAAATCCGCACAAGCATTTGCGAAAATTGGTTGTTCCATGACCAAAGCAAGCACATAGACACAAATTATCATTTTATTAGAGAACGCATTGTTAACAAGAAGTGGAGCTCAGGTATGTGAAAACTTAAGATCAGGTTACAGATATTTTCACGAAGCTTTTTGAAGATTTTTGAAGATTGAGAACAAGCATTAGTTGAATAAGATTTCAAATTACGGGGGATGTTAAAAATAATAATTTGAAATTATTATGTGACTTTTATGACGCACTTTGTATTTTTTTAAAAAAAATATCTCTTATGATGCATGTAAGTTATTGAAATTATTGCGCGGCTCTTAAAATTCTTATGCCTACAAGAATTCCTACCAATTAAGTAGTTTTATGAAATCTAGTAATTATTTAGAAATGTTTTTTTGGATATGCACCATTAATTAAGAATAATTTATATGTGTCTCTTGGTTCCCTTTTTGCACCTATAAGCACCCCCTCAGAAAGAAAGCAAGGAAAAAGTTCTATTTCTATAATTTTCTTTTCTCCAACAAAGTAACTTTCTTTTCCAACAGTTGTACTAGTTTTTTTTTTCCTCAGCATCTATAAGCAAAGCAGCAAGGTAACCGCACAAAGATGAAAGTGCAAAGCTGAAAAACTAAAATAAACGTACCCATTCTAAGAGGAGCTTCTGCATCCTTCCCCGGTTTCCCTTTGCACTGCTTCTCCCACTAATTATTTCAAGCACAAGGACCCCAAAACTGTAAACATCAGCCTTCAATGTTAATTGACCACCCAATGCATATTCTGGTGCTAGATAACCGCTGCATGAAAACATAAACAGTAATGTAAGAGGTTTTCACCTAACACCAAGATTTCATTTCATAACTGGAGGGGAGCCATAGGTCTGTTCAGGACAGCTCTATAATGTCAATTAATTATTAAAGAAATCCAGAATTCATTATGAAAAGTTTTAAGCTGTTCATTCAAGGCCCACTAAACTCTTTTGAACTTAGACCAGTCAAATTTTGGTTGTATCAGTAAAATGCTGTAAGAGGCAAATGTCTGTCTGGTCCATTGCAGGAATGCTTGTTCTTGATAGTTCTTTACTCTTTTTGCTTTTAGAAAGGGTTCACTCACTTACCAGTATCTTAATCTAGCCTCTAAGCGACTCCTATAAAAAGTCAAACTCAACAACTGAGAGTTAGTCGTTAAGCTTTTATACTACTGGTACGAAAAGCTTATGCGGTCCCCTGAAGACCTACCTTTTCAACTTATCTTGGATTTTGGTTGAATGATGGTTAACAGTGATACTGTGTTTTCCGTTTATTCTTTTCCCCGATATGGAGCGCAGTTTAGGGGAGGAGACTGAAATATCAAAAAAGCCTTTGGGAAAAGGGTTGAGATTGAGTGTCATAGGGATAATGCTGAACAAATAAGTATAAGGTTTCAATGCATCCATATCAAACTCGCCACTGGATAGAATCTTGTTAACAACTAGTTGAGATTTTAACATTAATTATTCAAGTCTAATATACAGAG